GGGTGGCGCTGCGGCCTGCAAGCCTCTCGCCCAACCCACGGCCCAGCCCTGCTCCGCCCGGCGAGGGCCCCACCCGAGTGCGGTCTTCCCAATAAAAGCTGGAATTCCCGGCTGGGCTCAGACAAAGAGGGACCGCGGCAAATCGACGCCGCGGGCAAGCCAAACCCTAGCTGGAGTTTACGTGTGCGTCTGGGGTCACAGAGGCGCCTGCTAACCCACCCTCTACAGGCCTTTCCTGCATGATCTCCCTGGGGGGGAATTTTTTAAAAATTGGTGCCTATCAAAATGAAAGCACAACTCCCCTTTCTTCTTCCCATAAGCTACACTTCTTCAGTTCTCTCCCAGTCCAGGAAAGCACAGTGCCAGCCACTTTAGCAGGAAAAGACCCCAAGCAGTATTATCATCCACTCTTCAAGGCCAGAGTGGAAAGCTAGCCCTCTAGCTTCCCATCCACTCAAGGTCAAGAACTCAAAAATCTCTTAGAAATCCTCCTTCGTGATCAACACATATCCTCTTTCCCCCACTCCAGAAGGGGTAAAAAAAAAAAAATCACTACTAGTGTTGTCCATGTATCTGCGAGAGAGAGAGAGAGAGAGAGAGAGAGAGAGAGAGAGAGAGACAGAGAGAGAGACAGAGAGAGAGACAGAGAGTAGGGGGGAGGCCCCCTACTACTGGCTCAGTTTGGGTCCCCTTCCTCCCCTCCCCGCAGGCCAGGAGGTGGTTTTTGTCATTCATCCTGTGTATCTAAGCATTGATGTATGCATATGAATGTTTTTGTGTTTCCAAGTGACCCTCTTCACACCTTTAAATGGGCTTTTGTCTCCAGAACGCATTTACTAAAACTCGGCCCAGTTTCCAGCTCAACAAAGTATAGGATGCCCCTCTCCCCAATATCGATAAGTCTCTGGATTTGCATATCCATGTTTGCATTCCTCTTGGCCAGTTCTTTATCTCCTTGGAAGCCCCCCTTCCATGTGGGCACCAGAGCCCAAGTGTCTTGATGGGTTTCAGCACCTGTCATTCAGGCCCACATCTTAATCGGAGCCTTTCTGCCAAACGCACACACCTCCCCTTACTACTTGGATCCTTGGCTGTCCACACTCCCAGGCTACCCCAGTACAGTATGTTGTGTAGAGCAAAGCATCTCCCTTTGACCACAGACCCTCCTAATGAGAGAAGCGGGGGTGAGGGGCCAGAGTCAAGTGTTAGGACTGATTCTATATTGGGGGGTGGGGTGCGCCCCCTCTCATCTGTAACCGTCCACCGATGCCAACTCTGTAAAGAACTAGACAAATGTCTGCAGACTTGTATTCAGTTTTTAAAAAACCAATCCAATATGGACCGAACGGATGTGTACACATACCATCGGCCTCAGACACATCGGAGTCCCATTCCGGTTTGGAGCCTGTCTCCACTAACATTTCTGCAGCACCACCACCCCTCCCCCACAACACACACCCTTCAAGTTCATGGTTGAAAGTGGGTCTATTTATACAGGCAACTCAAGGGCGCTCTCTCCAGCAGCTGTCTCCCTAAAGGACCCCACCCCACACTACAGCTCAGCTGGGCGCAAACCAGCAGCGGTCCTGGAACGCCTGGCCGGAATTCTCTGGGGCAGCACTGGTTCACATCTGCGCCCCCCTCCCAACTCAGTTCCTGGGGTGAAAGTGCCTATTGTATGGCTCCCCGGCTCCCCCAGTGAGAAGTACCAGGGCAAAGGAGACCCGCACAGCTGGTTCTGGTTTGTCGAAGACTCGAGATCGCAGCACCAAGATGTGAGCGTGCACACACGGAAGAGAAAGGAAAACTAGAGACACACACCCCGCCCCAGCCCCTCTGGGGGGTCCTTGGCCTCCAGAAATTTCTACTAGGTTTTTGGGCTCCCCTTCCCATTACACTACCCCCACCACCTTTAAAGGAAAACCCCGCAGCCTTTCCCTCCACCCAGCTCCAAGGGCCCGCTGGCTAGCTGGCTCACTCGCTGCTCACGGGAGTCTGCTGCCGCCTCCGCCCGCCTCCACCCCTCCCGTCCTTCAGCCGGGAGGGAGCCTGCATGCCTGTCTAGACCGATCTATCACAGGCCCACAACAACACCCGCGAGAGCGCGAAGCCCCTGCCCGGGTCCCCTAGCTCGGTACGGTTCACGGCGGACAGAACCCCGAGGGCTGACGGCGCCTGCGGGGGGGTTAGGGTAGGGAGGGCCCAGTGGGGGCTGGTCGCCCGGAGTGCGTGGCCGATCCTCCCGGGCCCCGACCCTCTGCGCTCCCGCCAGCCCGGCTGCCAGGGCAGTCACAGCTCCCTGCGCGCTGGGCAGTCCTATTTTTATCTTGTCTAATCCCAAACTGGGCGGGGAGCACAGGCGTCGTGCTTAGAGAACAAGAGATAGGCGAGGGAGGAGCAGCCAGGCGGCGACGCGAACGGGAGCGAGTTAAAGACACAGTCGAGGAGACCGAGAGCAGGAAGAAAGAGCGGGCTGTGCGGATCTCGCGGCGCCGCACGCAACCCGCCGCCCCGCGAAGTTACTCACCTCCCCGCCGTCCCTAGAGGCCCGGCCCCTCCCCACTACCCAGCGCCGCTCTCCGCAGCCCGGGCCGCGGTGCCCAGGCCTGTGTGGGAGGCGGAGGCCCGGTCGGCCCTGCAAAGGGCTGGAGAGAATCGCTAATGAGCTGTGCGGCCCATTGATCCGGAGAACACTTCCTAATTAACTCTCAGTCACCTACTGGTGACAGCGCCTCAAAGGACAGCGCTGGGGCCCGAAGAGCCCCCAGCCCCGACCTGCCTACCAACCGCCTGGCGCCCGAAACCCGCACACTCCCCTAAACACCCCAGGCAATCTAGGTGTGTAGTTGCGTATCCACGAAGACGAAAGCCAGCTTCGAATTTAAACCTGGACGGCATATTTAATCACCGCCATCTCTAGTCCGTCCTCTACCCCGTGAAACCGTGACCAAATAAACACCAGAACCAACACGGCAAAGCCCAGAGCAGATAAAAAGTGGGGGTGAGGGTGTCGAGAAGTGCCCAGTCCAGGAGTCTCCGAGGCCGACAATTAAAATGCCTTCCGCACTAACAATTCTGCTGGCAAAACCGAATGCAACACCTCCTAAGGATTGATTTCGGCCCGCAGTGTCCGTTTCCAGTGCCACAGGAAGTGTCAGATGGCCAGAAATACCCAAGTCTGTCTATGGTCACCACCCACCACCTTCTACAGTGGGCCATTTCCTCCTCGTTTTTACTCCTAGGCTGTTTTAAGGCTCGCTCAACGAGAGTCTAGCCCTTAGAACCAAATACCATTAGCCCACCCCTAACCGCCTGAAAATTTGAAGGGAAAAAAAAAGGCGAAAACCCAGAGCTATCTGGTCTAGACAGAGTGAGCTAGCTGTGCGGTACCTATTTGAAGCGCGCTGGTTTCTTTTTAAGGTTTGTTTTAAATACACACAACACAACCTTCCTTCTCTTTCCTTCCTCCCTCTTCATTCCCCAACCCCCACCCTCCCGACGTCGGCGGCGCGCGCCCCCGCGCGCGGGCACTCACAGCCTCCAGCTTGAGATCGCGGACTTTCTGGAAAAGATTCATTAACAGCAAATTAAGCCTCGCCCGGCCTCGGCCTACGGGCGGCCAGACTCTGTCGTCTCCGGGACTCGGGAACGTGCCCACTCGAGCGTGCGAGCGGCTGGAAGCCCGCTGGGACCATGCGTGCTTCGAGCCGCCCCACTCCACACTCGGCGCCCCAGGGCTAGCTCCGTAAACAGCAGGCGCACGTCGCCGTCGCCTGGAGCCCCCGAGTTGACTGAGGCTCCGCAGCGAAGCCGCCTGCCCGCTCTGAGGACTGGCCCCGCAGCGCGTCGGCGCCTTGCCCTCCCCGCCTTTGCCTTCGGATCGCGCCCCGGTGCGCAAGTTCTCTTCGCCCGCAGCCTGAGCTGCACGCCCCACTGGACCTCCGAGGGGGATCAACTTCCTCTGGCCACAGACACGCACACGCCCAAGTGAGCTTCCCACCAGACTCCCCGCTGCCCAGCCAAGGGCCCAGGGGGCTCCCCCCCACCACCACCACCATACCGCACTTCGCGCGGCTGTCCCCGCCGCTCCGGCTGCCCCCACACCAGGGGCTCTTAACTTAAAACGACTCTGCACCGCAGGGTGGGGGGCCGGGTGGAGTAGGGAGGGGGCACGGATTAGAATCTAAAAAGAACATTTACAAAACAAAGCGTCTGACCTGGCGGGCGAGCGGACCAAGTCCGAACCCCATTCACTCAGCTTGATTTCCTAGTAGTACACCCCCCCCCCTTAGTACACGTGACTCGCGCTTTGGGGCAAGTCGAGAAAAAACCCGGGACTCCCCTCCGAGTAGTGCTGCGCCGCTCCGGCGACAGGTCGGGCTCGGCTGGGCCCCAGGCACCCGCCACACACCCTCACGCACGCACACGCTGTCGTTCCACTTGAAGGAACGGCTGCCCCCCACACCACGAGAGGCGAGGCGGCGACCGGGGTTTTTTACAGTTCTTCCCCCGAGTCGGAAAAAAAAAAAAGGCAGACGGGAACCCGCCGCCCTCCCCTTCCTGCTCGTGAGCGAACGCCGAGCCGAGCTTCCCAGCTTCCAGCCTGGGCCCCCCCGCCCGACTCGTGGCGCTCCGCGGCCACCGCGCTCCCGCGCAGACACACACACACACACAGTCTGCAAACTTCCACTCCGCGAACTCCCTGCTCTCGCCGCTCCCCCACCCAGGAAGCGGCGGGCCCTCCGCATCTCCCCTTCCCGCTGCCCACGCGGGGCCTCTTAGGTTGGCTGCATTTTTAATAACTTCAGAGCTGTGAGATAAAAACGAAAGCGAACAAGGCAACCAAAGGGAAGCGCGAAGGAGAAAGCTTCGCGGGGTGAGCGAGAGTCGGAGACACCCGCGGCGAGCCGGGGGCCCCCAAGGAAAGAGCCGACTGCAGCCCGCGTCGCGCCGCTCGCCCGCCCCGGTCTCCCCCGGGGAAAGGTGTTCCGGGCACTGACCTGAAATCCCCGGCAGGGGAGTAGGCAGGGAGCCTGCGATCCGGCGCTTCCAAGTTTTGCCGACACCCCCCCCCTCCCAGAGCAGAGGCGAGGCGGAAGAGCGAGGGACCGCTGGCCGAGTCACGAGAGGTGAACGCGGGGGCGACGTGGGCGCGCGGAGGAGCCGGACCGGAGAAGCGCGACGAGTAGCAAAGTTTGCTGTCCCCGGCTGCCCGCAGCCCGCTCGCGGCACCGCGCTCGCTCGCCTCCCTTGCTAGTCTGCTGCCAGCCGGCTGCCCTCGGGGTCGGCCCCCCGGAGGGGTGGGCTCTGGGCCGGGTGGGGGCGGGGCGGGCTCGGCGCCTCCGGGCAGGTGGCGACAGCCCCGCGCGGTCCTCCGGGCTCCCGCGGCTGCGCCGGGCTCGGCCGGGCTCAACAGCTCCCGCGCCGCCGCTGCTGCCGCCCGCGCTCCGGCAGGAGCCCCAGCGCCATGTTGCCGGTTCGCCGCGATCGCCCGCTTGGGCTGAGTGTGTGAGTCTGTGTGTGTGAGTGTGTTGGCCAAGTCGTCCCTGAGCGGCGATAGCGCGGCTTGGGATCCCCGCCCGGTGGCTCGCGGGCTCCCCCTCCGCCGCCGCCCGCCTTGCTCCCGCTCTCGGTCGCAGTCTGGGCTCCGGCGCGTCTTCCCCGCAGCCGCCGAGCTCCGCCAGCGTTCAGCGAGGAGCGCAGCTCTGCCTCACCTTGCCGCTGGGAGCCCGGGCTCCGTCTGCCGCCGCACGCCGCGATCCCAACGCGTCCCCCTCCCTCGTTCCCTCCTCTTCCTCCTCCCCCTCCCTCCGCCCGCCCGCCCTCCCTGCCTCCCTCCCTCCCTCCCTCCCAGCAGCCGCCTCCCCTCCCCCCGCAGGCGCAGCGCTCCGGCGACAGCCGCCCGCCCGCCACCGCCTCCAGCTCTCGCAAGTTTGAGCTTCCCCAGCCTCCGCTCACCCTCCGCTGCGGCGCCTGAGCGCTGGGGTTTCGGGAGGGGTGGTTCCCCAAGAAAGGTCTGCTCGAGTTTCCCCCGCCATCGTCGACTCCCGGCCGGGCGCCTCTCGGGTCTCGGGGTCCGAACCTGGTACCTCCTGGGTGGCGACCCCCTCGCCCCTGGCCCTTTTCTCCCCCTTGTGGGCCGAGTTGGCCAAGCACGCTGGGCCCGGGCGCACGTCCCGGGTGAACCAGAGACCGGCTCGGGTGGCGACCGCACGGGCGGCCCACAGAGCCAGAGCCGAGGGGACGGGGGGCGGCGGGGGCGGCTCTCCCAGCCTCGCGCCCAGACTCCCCTTGCTACCCAGAAGGCCAGTGGAGGACCGCAATTACCATAAAGCTTCTCGCACTCCGCTCCGCCAAAGCTGTCAAACCCCAGCGGCAGCCACCGCCGCTGCCTCTCGCTACCAGCGCTGCGCTCTCGGCCGCTCAGAGACCAGGCAGGACCGGCTGGCTGGGTGCGCACCCCAGCCTTACCACACCCCGGGCCGCCCCTTCCTCCCAGAGGAGCCTTTTCTTGGTTGGGCCTCCAAGCTACACGAAAACACTACCCGGGGCAACAGCGACCTTTCTGCCCCGAACTCCGCGCCCGAGTTCCCCGGACACTGCAATTGTGTGGGAATTGTTTGGAGAGGTGGTGGTGGAGGGCAGCCCATGGGGCCCTAGGGGCCGTAGGAGGGCGGGTAGAGAAGCGGGGATCCGCTTGCATTTCTCCTGGTTCGAGGTTATTTCTCGGTCTGCATCTCCGATGGTTGGAGGGTCTGCCCTGGCCCCTCACCCCGGCCTCAGAAGATAATCTCTAGCGTTTTATTTTCCTTGGCAGGGAGCAACTTTTGGCGCAGACCGTACGCCCCATAAATTTCCACTCGGTAACGTCGTGTTGATCCGTGCTCGGCGGCTGCGTACAGCCTGCGCCCGCAGCAGTTCAATTCAATTGACACGTATTGAGCTTCTTCTGCGCGCTTGGCGCGGCTCCGGGCGCGGGGGCAGTGAGCGGCTAGGGGAAGCGCGGAGCAGAGGTTCCGGCCTCCTGGGGAGCAAAGCCTCAAGGGCGAGCCGAGAAACCGCTGCGTGAAGCTGGCGGGAAGGTGTGGGGGAAGGGCTGTTGGCCTAACAGTATCCCTCCCTCCAGCCTGGACGTCTTGCCAAAGGTGACCCCACTTGGCTGCTCGCTCGGGGCTGCTAGGCTGGGGCAGGGGGAGAAGGGCCAGCGCGGGGAAGAAAGAGGTAGTCTCTTTCTGCCCAAGGACAAGATGTTGCAGACTCGATGAGACATCCTTCGGAAATGGAGGTGGCCTGTAAATCCACACAGAAAGAAAGTTTCTATTTCTCCTGGAGTGTCCCCACGCCCCAAATAATCAAAAGCACCTCAAGTTAATTACTAAGTCAAGGTCAGGGCCAACACCAGCTCAGGCTAGCAGATATTTCCCCTTATCAAAATGAAGACCTGACTACTGACGCAGGGCTGGTGATTAGGTGAGATTTTATTCATTCTGTTTTCGTTCTCAGCACAGAGCTGTAAAAACAGCCCTGCTCAAAGCAGAAGTGAAACATCTTTACCGTTTGAAACCTGAAACTTGGGGCAGAATTAAATCTTCATGCTCCAGAGCTGCTTGTAACAACTGATGCAATAGAGGCGGACCCAGTGCCCACCAGAGCCGGGCCTCCAGTGCCAGCATCCGGAGGTGAATGCTTCCAGGACCCAAGCCTGCAGAATGGAATGCACGCCTTTTTCTTCCTGGTCTTTCTGGGGGTGGGTGTCACTGAAAGCTAATCCACACATTTTTTTAATCTCGGGTAACAAGCAGAAAGACACCTGGACTATTATGCTGTAAAGCCTTTTTTTTTATATAAAGAAATTTTAGGGCCAGACATTAAAAGTTATTAGACTGAATGCATGCGTGCGGCAGACACAGCTGGAGAAAAAACTTCTGGTTGCTTTGTAGCAACATTGCTTTTTGAAGCGATTCCTTTTATTCAAAATAAGACTAAAATAACCAGGAAGGCTGAAGTTGGGTATTGGGGGAGAAACGCACTGAACGTGATGGAGGTCACAGTACAGCTCTGGGCGGTGCAGTGGAGCTGGCCTGGGTGAGTGAGGAGCCGTGTCAGGCTCTTCCGGTTGGGTTAGGCCGCACCATGGAGGCCCTGGCTCTGTGCCCGGCCACCTCCTCTCCCCTCCCCTTGCCCTCCCTACCTCTCCCCCTAGGCAGAAGCTTTTCCCAGAGTTCTGAGTAGCAAGTAACGGTCTAGAACTTTTAGGAAACCCAGGAACTGGGCGACAGCAAGGAGCCTCCGGGGCTAATGACAAAGGGCCTGTTTGTCTAAGTTTAAAAGTCCGGGTAAGAAAATGAGGGGGGGGGGGTTGTTAACTGGAGGGAGCTCCGAGGAAGGCTGAGGGCAAGAAAAAATTGATACTGGAGACAAACAGGCCAGGAAACTCGCCCGTGACAAAATTTGTACTAGTTGCCACCCCACTTCTTTTTTTCTTTTAGAGACTCTCACCTCCCGTGGGCTGCTGGGATCAAAGAGTGACTGAGCCATTTCGGAGGAAAAACTTTTCCAGCACCAAGGGATTGAAGGCACAAATCTTATTCCGCTCCTATGAAAAGGAACCCTTGTGGCTCAGCGGTTCAAAGGTGTTACCCCAAAGGTCGGTGCTTGGAAGAAACCAGCCTCACTAGAGCCACATCAGGCAGGAAAGATGTGGCAGTCCGATTCTGTGACAACCTCAGCCCGGTAGACCCTATGGGGCAACTCTGTTCGCCGATAGGCTTTCTATGAGTTGGAATCAACAGCAAATGTTTTTTGTTTGTTTGCTTGCTCAGGTTTAAGAGGCATGGGGGAAGGGGAGCTGTGACTCACTGGGAGTGAAAATGTAGGTTGCTCCCAAGGCGTTCCAAAACTGGGGTTACACTTTTTGGTCCTGAACCGGATTGTGGGGGGATTGCTCCAGGGAAGAGAAGCAGAAAGCTCCAGAAAGACCATTCCAGCTGATGATTCAACTTGGGAAGGGGCTCCCGGAAGCTAGGGACCCCACGGGGCCTTGCAGCATGTGTGCCAGAGTCCAGGCCCTTTCCTGGCTTCCCCCCTTCCTTCCACTCCCAGGAGCCCCTCAGGAGCTGACCCCGGGTCAAGCCACTATGTGGGGGGGGGGGGGGGGGGCGGGGCGGCGGCCTGAAGAGAGGGGAGGATTTCAATGAAACAGGGGAAGGAGGCGGCAGGGAGAGGGATCCAAAGGGAGTGGAGCCCGAGTTTCCTACTGAGAAGGTGTGGCAAGATCTGAGCAGCCCGGAAGGGTCCTCAGTTATACAAGTCTGGACTTCAGGTTCTGGGGCATGTTTTTGGTGCTTATTCTACCCAAGCTCTGCAACTCTCAAGCAAACAGGTTGGGGCTTCTGACAGCAAGCTTTGAGCCTGGTGACCCCTTTCAGGCCAGACTGGGCCACTCTGTGATTGGCTAGGCCTCTGTCAACCTTGGGGAAAGGCAGCTGTGCTGCAGCAACTCTCTGTTCTGAGGTCTGCACCCCATGTTTTAGGGGTGAGCCCTGGCCTCCTAACAAAGAGCCCTGATGGCACCGAGGTGTGCTGCTCCATGATACGTCAGCAGTTTGAGCTCCAGGAGACAGAGGAGGCCATCTGCTCCTGGAAAGATTTACACAGCCCTGGAAACCTGAGAGAGCAGTTCTACCAGGCCCTATAGGGTTGCTATGAGTCAGTATTGTTGACTGGCCGGCAGTGAGAGGTGCCCCTATCTGGGTGTGGAGGGTTGGTTTGGAAGGTGTGTGTAGACGCTAAAGTCATTCAGTCCTAAAGCCCCAATGTCCTTGGGCCTATGACACTGGCTATTCGATGGCAGATACTGTAGGTGTTTTCTGTTGTCTTACTGGAACTTTGACTGTAAGCAGTATAAAGCGCCCTGTTAGTGTGAACCAGTACTGTTAGTTTGTTTCTTTTTGTACATTTGTTGCCATCATCCTTCTCAAAACATTTTATTTCTACTTGAGCCCTTGGTATCAGCTTGTTTCCCCCCTCCCTCCCGGAGTGTGAACTATTTTTAAAAATAGCAACAAAGTGGGAACTCTCGATGAGGGTCTTCTGGTTACTGTTACACTGAGGCTGAGACACTAACTGGCCCACCTCACCAACCACAAGTTCCCATGACCAACT